ACCCCAGCCTCTGCAGGCGCCGTGGTGCTCGGCGGGTCTGCCTACCCCAGCCTCTGCAGGCGCCGTGGTGCTCGGCGGGTTTGTCTGCTGAGGCACCGGCACTTAGCGGATGAGGGTAAACTCAAGCTGCGCACTGATGACTGTCCCTGCCTGGCTGACTGTCTTGCATAGGGTGGTCTCTTCATGACTTTCATCTTGCAATTCGTCCATAGTGCTTTGGCAGAAACCTCTCTAATTTTAGAGGACAGAGTGCGTCACGTTAGTTTCGAATAACGCCCGGCTCGAGGCCCGAGCCGCGGCTGGGGCCTGGCTGGCACCTGCCCAGCGCGGCCCGCGCACAGGCCCCGCCCGATCACAAGCGGTGCGGACATGTTTTACATTGACTAATGATTTAAAAGGCGCCATCGACCACATCGAGGTGAAAGGGTGCCCCTTCCCCCTTCCCTGCCACCCTTTTCTCCACCTAAAGCAAGGGGGAAGACGAGTCTGACTGCTGACTTCGAGTCCTGATGTTGTCTTCAGCGTTGAGCTGGATGCCGTCAGAAATGAAAGCTTTCAATAGTTTGGTGCGTGGCGCGTTGTAACCCACGTGGTTGCATCATGCCGGGCGCAGACGGAATACGCTTCGCTTGGAACGGGTCCTGGGCTACCGCCACCCACCCCCACCTGCCGGCCGCCGCTCGAGGAACAATTGTGAACATTGTGCTCCGCGAGACGTTGACTCGGCTGAGTGACAGTGACTCTCGGCTCGAGAAAGAATCTGGCAAACCTTGACCCGAAATCCTCTAATGTCGGAATGGTGCGCGGACTTTTCCTCTCACGCAGCTTATGATGTGTATTTTGCCCTGGCGCCCGGCCAGGGACGGGGCAGAGAGCCGCGGAGCGGACGGCCGCGTCCGCTCCCGAGATGATCGCCTACGCCAGCGCCCCTGCAGGGGCGTCCTCTGGGCCGCCGGGGAACCCGTAGTGATCCCGTTCCCACGGAGGGGCCGCGTCCTTAAGGATCACGTAGGCCGGCCTTCGCTTCGAAAATCCCTGCTGGAGACACTGGACACCGGGCCCGGCCAGGGGCTGGGCTCGTAACTCCACTTGGGTCCACCCCATGGCACAAACTCGTCTTGAGCACTGTCACTCCACCAACACCAGCACCACTATCATATCACTGCACTTCACTCCGCACTGACGCGTCACTCAATGCGTACCGAGGAACAGGGCAGCCAGGGCCGCCAGGAGCAGGAGCCGGTAGGAGGCCATGCTGGACGTAGGGATCGGCTCGGCTCCCTCTGTCCGGCTCGGCTCGGCTCGGTTTTGTCCGCGCTCGACTTGCACCGGGGCGGCGGGACTCCGCCGGGACCACCGCGGGACTGAGGGACCGAGGCCCGCAGCCCCTGCGGCCCTACGCTACTGTGGCCGCCGCCACGCCCCGCCACGCCGCGCCACCACCCCCACCCCACCCCACCCCTCGCAGCGGCAGCCGCGGGCGGACCCAGAGGCGCGCCTCCTGTCTGCGACCC